TAGTAAAGCATACATTACAAAATAAGAATGATTTATTTTGATACTGTTTTGTTTTCTGTACCTGAATGTATTAATTTTATTTGTGCAGGTCTTAAAAAAGGTCTCAAAGCCTTAAATCTGATTTTGAAAACCTGCTTATCTTCAAATACCGCTCCCATTCACTTTTTAACGTTGTCCACCTCCTCCTCAAGGGGTATCCGGTCACACATGCCCACACACACACAAATCATCAGTGTAAGGAATGTAAAGGCCAGAAACTGAGATAACTGCCTTTTTGAACTTGGTTGTATTTCATGATTACATTTGGTGCTTAGGAATGTGACATTTTTCATTAACCAGTCTCCACTTGTTCTTTGTAATGATGATGTTACTGTTTATATCTAGAAAGTTCAACACAAAGACCTCTTTTTGAATGTGTTGTTGTTTTGCACTGATAATTATAGTATGGTTGGTTTCCCTTTGAACATTTTGTACCTTCTGGAGATGTCACATTGTGCTCTGCTCTGTGCTGCATTTTCAGGAATTTCCTGTGATCTTTCATGGAGTGATTGGAAAGGATGAGAGAGAGTCAAACAGTCCCTCCTTTTTCAACACTTCTGAAATCGATATCATAATTGACTACATGAAGAAGCTCCTGACACAGGCAAAGAAGGGCATTGCAAAAATCTCCCCCAAAGAGATTGGCATTATCGCCCCCTACAGGAAACAGGTGAAAATACCTTTTTAAGGGCTCGGCCACAGCAAACGTGATGCATAATGTGCAAGCACAATGCAGTTAGTACCAAGTAAATCCTAAAGAAACTTTGTTTGCAGAGATACACCACCATTCAAAAATGTGGGGTTGGTAAGATTTGTTTGAAAGAAGTATCTTATACTACAGTAAAAACAACTTAAAATAACTGTTCATTTTCTATTTTAAAATAAAAATGTATATTCTAAAATGTAATGATGGCAAAGTTGAATTTTCAGCATCCATTACTCCAGTCTTCCTTCAGAAGTGATTCTAATATGCTGATTTGCTGCTTAAGACACAGTTGAAAACTGTTGTGCTGCTTAATATTTTTGTAAAGAACATGAGGCTTTTTTCAAGATTCTTTGATGAATAGAACGTTCAAATGTACGTATTTGAAATCTTTTGTTACATGACAAATGTCTTACTGTCTTTACTGTACTTTTGATAAATTTAATGGGTCCTTTCTGAATAAATGAAATGAAAATATCAATATCTTACAAAAAAAGTACTAATGCCAAACTTTTGAATGGTAGTTTAAATACATAAGTATACTTATGGACAGTCAGAAATATCTACACACATTTTCTACTGTTTGTTCTCCACACAACCGTTCACATAGACTGCTGGCTGTTATTCAAGCAAGCTAAACTTTGTTTTTACGCAGATCATCATCATTCTCTTTAAGGTGATTTTTTTTTCCTCATGATTGTTCACTCTGCCTTTATTTTTTATTGTACATATCTGTTTTATTTTTACAGGTGGAGAAAATCAGGAAGGCCATCAAGTTGCACAGAGAGCTTAAATCCTTTTTGGGTATTGAGGAGCTGAAGGTCAGCATGAGTATGAGCTCCACTCTGTTATCAGTTCTCATCCGTGTCAGGACACTTAAGCAAAAACATGACTGCTGTGTGTGTTGTGTAGGTTGGCTCTGTGGAGGAGTTTCAAGGCCAGGAGAGGAAAGTGATCATTGTGTCAACTGTTCGCAGCGACAAGAAACACATCATTTTGGATGAAACATTCAACATTGGGTTTCTGAAGAATGAGAAGGTAGTGTCTAACACATGACAATACACCACACAGAAGTCTACCAAACAAAGTTGTTTCACCTCTTGCTTTCTCTTCTCCAGAGATTCAATGTGGCAGTGACGAGAGCAAAATCCCTGCTCATTATGGTGGGAAACCCCATCATTCTACGAACAGACGCAACCTGGGGCAGGTATATAAACTTCCAACTAACACATGCATAATAACATACATAAAATACTCTTTATATGATTTCTGGAACATGCTGGGAGATGATGTTGCGAGCTGATTTTTTTTACCTTGTTGATCTATGTGTTTGTAGGTTTATTAATTACTGCATTGAGGAGGAAGGTTATACTGGATATGATATTTCCAACTTGGAGGAAACAGATGCAGTTGTTGAGCGTCTGCTAGCACTAAACATCCGTGAGGAGATCATAGGTAAGACATGGCTTTAATTAAAGTACAGTCACTCTAGACTTTGCACTTCATTTGCTTCCATTAATGCAGAACAGGAAATATAAGCTTAAGGTAGTCTATTGCTGAAGTTCAAATATAGTGAACTCTGATCTGCAAATTTGAATTAAAGACATATATTTGAATATTTAGAATGTATTGTATTAATAATTGATTTGTTTAATAAAAGTGGCCCAAGAGCGTGACAACACGCGTGACAACATATCCTGTTTTTCATGTTTGTTTGCTGTCTAAAGAAATTTTGTCTAACTAAAGCCTAGTTTGACCGCACATTCATAATTTATTGACAGGTTATACAGTATAAATTCAAAAAAGTTTGGGGTCAGTACATTTTTT